GTTTGGAGTTTGGTATACCATTTAGGTCTCTTATAATTATGATTTTGTAGTTTGTTGATTTGATAATTTGGGTAAGATAGGTAAGGATTTCTTTATATGATTGTTTCTTTTCTTGTGTTGGAAAATATATTTGGATGAGTTTAATGTAGTTGTTTTTAAAGTAAAGATCTATTTTGAGAATAAAATTTTTGAAAATTTGGATTTTTCCAATATGTTTAGCAAGTTGATTATTAATTATAATTCCAATACCTTCTTGTCTATGCTCACAAGGTGCCTAGAATTTTTGTAATTAGTAAGCTCTTTCAATATTGTTAAGAATTTTGATTCTTTTGAGTTTAGATGAGTTTCTGAGATATCAAAAATATCTATTTGATTTTTTGTGATATAATCGATTAGACTTAGTTGTTTATAATTTTTTAGAAGGCCATTTGTATTAAGAAAATAGATTTTTAGTGAAAGAGTTTGTGTTTTATCGTTTGTAGTAGGGGAAGTTGTAGCTTGGGTATTTGTATATTTGAGAGTAAAGTTCTGTTGTAAGAAGATCTCTGGATCAATATAAGGAGATCTAAGTATTGTATGAATAGATAAGTTGTAGAATTTATAAAATTTTTTAGTGTTAGTAGTTAATAGTTTGGTAAAGTAGATTTATTCAGATTGCAATAAATGTGAGTTTCTGTTTGATGTATATTGATAGATATTTTGAATAGTAGAGAGAATGAAAGGTTTTATAAATAGTTTAAAACAGAGCCTAAGGTTTTATTTTGGCTAAGTGATGGTAGATTGTTAGAGAGTAGGAACAAGTTGTAGCAAGGAATATCTTCAGTATGAGATGATGTATTAGTTACTGAAGAGTAGGGTATTTCTTCTATAGTGTCACTCACCGTATACCTGGTTTTCATAGTTGTGCAAAAGTCCAAAGCCTGTTCTGTACATTGGTTCTAGCTATCATAATATTGGTCTTCCATGTTATGATTTTTTTATCAGCATATATTACTATAAATTAGAGTTATTTAATTCAAATTAAAGTACTAGTTTTTAACTACATATATTTCAATTTTTATTCAACATATAATAATTTATCAAGATATTTTAAATATTTAAGTTCTAAATTAGAATAATAACTAATGATTTATGACTTAATTAAATTAGATTGGTCAATTAATATTGAATCTTGTTTGCATAGTAATTTGTATCTAAATATTCAGAGATAAAATTTAGAGTTTACAAATATTAAATTTTCTCAAAATAGAAACTATCCTTCAAAAAGCAGGTTTTCCTTGTCTATTACTCATATTAGATAAATCAGATATTTTTTTTTTTTTTTTTTATATTTTCCAGGCATTTTTTTCTAGAACGCCAAGTAAGCATACTTTATTATTATTCAATAATCGTATATTATATTATATATTACATAATTATATTTTTAAGTATATATTTTTTCTCTCTATTCTTGGGATGCCTTATATTACGAAGAGCATTAATTACTCTATTCAACCTATTCTTAGTTATGAGGGGAATAGTAGGTATTGGAATTGGAGATGAGCCCTATTTCGCCTGCATATAATACAACCAAATTTCATAGACACTGAAAATATTCAGCCACTTTATAGAGGCCCTTATCTTACTATCCATTATGTCATTAACTTGTAACACCTTCTCTAATGTATCTGGAGAAGATATGTTTTCTGGTATATGTATTCTGGAGTATAGAGTGCTCTAGATCCTTCTGCTTATGTCACACTCGGCCACAAAATGCTCTAATGTTTGCAGTGTCCCTTGGCAGTGTGGATATTCTCCATTATCGTTATCTAATATATGCACTAGCCTGTATCCCAGAGGCAATGCCCTGTGTGTTAGTAACTAGTAAATATCATTTTTCTTGTTTTCTGCCTATTGCATACTCAATCTCTTCTAGTGATTTCTTGACTCATCATTATTACTTCGAATCAAAAGCGAGGCAGTTGGCTTCAGAAATTTCTCTCTTAAAAATTCAGTGGCCCTTTTCACTGAGTATTCCTCACCCTTTATCTGCGTGAGGTTTATATCTGCTAAATCCCATAGCTATGTTCCCGTATCTGGGTTTACTCTTCCTTCTAACCTTTTTCACTCCTTAATATATCTTTTCCAATTTTCTGGCTATCCTTTGAGACTGAGTGAATTGTCATTTATTGCCTCCTTAATGTTCATATTTCTTTTGTTTCTCATACTAGCTGATATTAAAGAGTGTTCTGCTTTTGCCCATATGCTGTCTGATGTTAACAGTTTTATCCAAATAATCATTAGTCTAGCAGCTATCATATGATCAATCATAGAGGCTTTCAAACTGCCAAGACTGTAATCTTGCTAGAAAACTAAGAGCCTTGGTAGCATCTTCAATCTTTTCTTAATCCAATTAGCTATCATGTTACTTATCTCTTTAACTTGTTTTTTGTTTGGCAGCAGTATATATGATATATACCACATACATAAGAGCAATAAAGATTTCACTATTAGGATTTTTCCACTAAAAGACAGGTTTCTCAAAGCTATTTTTTCTGTTATTTTGTTAATTTTCTGAATCATCCTTAGCCAGATGTTTCTATCCACTTGCCCTTTAATATTAACAGTATATCCCAGTACCGTTATATTCTTATTTTCTCCTAATCTTTTAAAATGTTCCCCTTTCGCAAACTTAGTCCTTTCTGCATTACACATGAGGGGCATTAGCACTGATTTTTGACAATTTATTCTAGTATTCGATGCTTCTTCATATTTCCTGACTAGCCTCGTGAATGTGGTCCAATCTGTATTCAGCTCAACTAGATCATTAAATCATCTGTATATGCTGCTATTTTAAAAATCTAGCTCTGTACATAAATACCCTGTAGGTTTTTATTTAGAGCTCGGAGGAAAGTATCGAAGGTAATTACATATAACAGAGGTGACAACTGGTCCCCTTGATGTACCCCTTGCTGATTCTGAAAGATTCCAATAATTGTCCTGCATCAGCTATATGTGCTGTCTGTTCTGCGAAAAGCTCCTTAATTATGTTTGTAAATTTTATATCGAAATTCATCTTTTTTAATACCATTTCTATGAAATGGTAATTAACTCTGTCAAATGCTTTTTGTTGGTCGATGAATAATAACCAGTGCTACTTCGTTTGGTCATTCTAGTCCCTCATTGTAGTTATGATATCTATTGCTACATCCATTATCGACCTGCTCGCGATGAATCTCTGCTGGTAATTACCTATCATTTTTTGACATATTATGTTAACCCTTGTTGCTAGAATTTTCATGAATATTTTATAATCAGTATTTATAAGGGAGATAGGACGCCAGTTGCCCACATCTTTAAGATTCTCTGACTTTTTTGGTATGAGCATCATAATGTTTTTTATTCACGATCTTAGTAGTATTCCTGTGTCAAGGATCCTATTAAAAAGTTTTTCTAAACTCAGTACAATTTCCTCTACAACTTCCTTATAATATTCATAGGTGAAACCATCTGCACCAGGGGCTTTATTGTTTGGTAAGTTGTTTATTACTGAGTCTTTGAAATTTTTTTTAGTAGCATAAAATTATCCTCTGATGAAATTTGAGGTATATTATACGTTATCTCTTCCGCAGCTTCTTAATTAAAGTTCTCCTCCTTATATATATCCTTGTACACCTCCTTGATATACTGTAAAATTTTACTTGTTCTACTATGCTTGGATCATTCAGGATTTTGATTTTAGAAGTCACATTTATCGAATACTTCACTTTATAGCAGGAGAAAAGTATCTCATTGACCATTCTCCTTTCTCAACTCACTGCGCATTCGATCTTATTTGCCATTTCTGTGCCAATGTGTCTAGTTCATCTTGCTGCTAAGATACTATATATTCTACCACAACATTTAGGTCTTCTTGGCCTGGGTTTGCTGCTATTTTCATTTTCAGCTTGGTGATACTCTTATTTAATTTTTGTATTTGATTTTCTGGCACAGCTGGAGGCTTAAACGCACGTATTATCAACTGGATACAACATTTTATATAATCCTACTCTTTACTATTCTGAAAACTACGTATCTCCTCTATAACGTTTTTCCTTAGATTCTCATTCTTCCAACATCTCATATTGAATTTCCAAAGGGCTGATCTGCTATTTGATCTTGTGAAATTAAATATGCATTCCACGAGAAGGTAATCCAAATTTCCATACTATGTTTTGGTATTTTGACAGAATTGTGTATAGTTATCCTCAATGAAAATATAATCCAGTCTAGTAGCCATAGTATGTCCTCCACATGTTGTTTGGAAATAAGTAAGAAAGGGCTTCGTTGTTGTAAAATCCGTGGTATCTATGAACCTATCCATATGTTCCTTTAATTTCTCTTTAGTGGGATCATTATGTACTTCCACTTGACTGATTCTATTTTTCTGCTCCTTGAGATTTATATTAAAATCTCCTGCGATTATGTTAATTGCTTCTTTATCTATAACTGGAGTCCAGTTATTTAGAAACGTCATTCTTTCTCTTACACTTGGAGGTACGTATATATTCGAAATTTTGAACATTCTATACTTTAATTTGAAGTACGCCATAATTACTCTATCTTTGTAGTCTTCCTTAATCTTTTCAAAGATTATATCTTTCTTTCCTACCAAAATTGCTGACTTTGCTGACCAGTACGAGTCATAAAACCATTGTTGTGCTATGAACCTTCTTAAATTTTCATTATTTAAATTAGTTTCTTGTATCATTATTAGATCTATATGATATGATTTAAGTAATGTTAATGTCTTTTGATACTTGTGTCTGTCATTTAGGCTCTTCACATTCAGTGTCGCTATCTTCAACACGCAACTCATTGGATTTGTATTTTAGAATAGGATTGTCTGACCCATTTTTTTTGACTCTCTTTTACGGGCTATATCTATCAATTTCTATCAATATATTTTTACCTTTCTCTTTCTTTTTCTTTTTATTATATACAGTCGTAAACCTATCCTCTGTTTCTTCCTGTACTTTCCCTTAACTATTCGCTATTTCTTCACTTTCATTATTATTTCCATTATTCTCTTCTATGTTAGTGTTTATCTCTATGCTTTCCTGATTAGTCTCTTTCTCTTGACTCATTGATAGTCTTTTTTCTTTATCTCTGTTTTCTTTGGCTATAGGTACTGACACCATCTCCATTTTTTCTGCTTCTGCTCCCTCCTTTGATCTTATCTCGGTACTCGTACTCACCTCAACTACTATTTGACTGCTATGTGAGTTGAATTCTGAGGAACCTCCTTCTGAACCAACTACTACAGCTTCCTTGTATGGGTTTAGAGTACTGACTATAACTTAACTTCCTTCTTCCTTTTGTTTTCTTCTATGTTACTCCTTGCGCATTTTTTGTAATAACCTTAATTCGACTGACAATTTATACTCAGGGCAGTCTCACTTGATATGCCCTTTCCATCGCAATAGAAGCATAACTTTGAAGCCTCTCTCCACTTTGTTAGTACCTTTTGGTCACATATATGTGTATGTCTCGGCATTCTTTCAGCAAGGTCCGGATTATTAGTTGTTTTGAAAATAATTATCTATTAATTTGTACTTATAGAGGTTCCCTCATAGACCAAGGGTTTGATTGAAGTAACTACCTCCATGTCCTCAAAAGCTTCTCTAATTTGTTCCGAAATAACTTCTTTGTGCCCTATTGGGATGTTCTTAAGCTTGACTGATAAGTAACTTCTCCCTAAATTCACTGGTATGTACCCTAAAATAACTTGTTTAAAAATTGTTAACCCTTCCACTGCGTAATATTTTTGCCTCTTCTCATTTTTGAATACAACTTCAAGGTGAATATGAACTCCTCTGTTGAAGTGAGGTTTGGCTGCTATAAAATCATTACTTATTTTTACATACATCGTCGACATGATTTCATTCATAGAAAACTTGCCCAAATTCTGGATATCAAAAATTAGGGCATTATCATTTTTCATATGTATTCAGCTCCTAGGGGTAAAGGTGGAGTAAGTTGTCTTCCCTCTTTTTAATTTCATGAAAAGGCTAGTCCATTGCCTTTTCTTTTTGCTATTGACTTCTACCTCATTCTCTGTGGTGTCTACGTTACTTTCTAATCCTTTTCTGATTTCGATTTGATTATCATTATTGTCACATGCAACATCATCTGATGTTGCGTAACTCTTTTCAGATGTTCTTCTTTCGATCCTATCGCATCTTTAACTGCATTGTGGGAACTTGAAGAAGAGTCTTCATCCATATTGACTATACTTGATATGCCTTCTACTACATTTTCCTGCTCCACAGACTCCACCAAATTCGTAGTAGATGTGTTTGTATTGCTTACGTTTACCCTTTGGGCTTAGGTTTCATCCAGTTTTTCTATTGTAGTTGTTTCTGCTTTCTCCACTGCAACTTTTGCTCTGGTATCATAAACTTTGGTTCTCTTTCCCTGCATGTTTTCCATATCTACAGTTATATACCTTCTTTTCCTTGATGCAGAGACTTTCACTCTTGCTATTAGTCTTTTGTATTGTTCAGAACTCTGCTTTACTTCTTCTAAAGTCTTTTAGCTCTTACCTAGTACTGATGATCGACTGGTTAAGTTGCTTTTTTTAATTAGATATTTTTAACTTGTATTTATTAGTAATATAGAAAAGTATAAAAACAATACCTTTTACTTTTAATAAAAATTAACTTTAAGAGTTCGAATAAAACTCTAATAAGTTCTAAATTATCTAAGTATCAATATTACATGTTAGTACCTGATATATAGTAATATACTATATATTATACTATATATACTATACTATATATACTCTATATACTGTATGCTAAAATTTTGATAGTCATTTTATAAGTTCTGAAATTTAGGCTATAATATTTATGAGTTTCTAAATATTGCAAAATGATTACAAAATATTCCAAAACTATAGTATAAAAAATTCTAATATACATACTATATATACTATATATACTATATATACTATATGCTAAAAAAATTCAAGTATTATATAAATAGCATATCACTACTGATATGATACAATTTTACATAGTGAAATCAAAAATCATATGATTAGTAACAACAGTTTATATCACATATTGCATATAAATAATATTTTAAAAAAATTAATCTTCCTTATATACTTTAATTAAGTAATTAGCTATAAGTGATTGAAACTCAGTTTTTCAAATTACTATATCAGTTAGAAATTAGAAGGGTAAGGCTTAGTAATTATAAAGCTTAAGCTTCATTTACTATTTTTAGTAGGAAATAAAATATCTATATTGAAGCTTAAGCATTATTTACTATTTCGAGTGGAAAGTGAAGCAACTTAGTTAAAACTGAAGCTTCATAAACTAATTAATTGAAAATAGGGTTTCATAAATAATAAAAACAAATTTTCAAATCATAATTAATTATAGTTTAGAAAATATGTATATAAAGTTCTAAATTTTTCATTAATAAAGTTTTCTCAGACTTTAAAATATCTCAAATA